GCGCACCCCGGCTCCCCAGAAGGCAGAGTGGCTCTGTAGACGCCTCTCACACTGGCTGTCCTCCCATGCAGACGCCATGACACGCCACCTGGCTGTGGAGTGGGGACACCGGAACATCCGTGTCAACAGCTTGGCCCCCGGCCCCATCAGCGGCACCGAGGGCTTCTGGCGGCTGTGTAAGCTCTCAGGGAGCCCAGGCCCTCTGTGGGGCTCCCCTCCCACGGCCTGGTGCTGAGCGTTGGTCTAAGGGACAGTCCTCAGCTGGACTTGGGCAGCTGCTCCAGGAGGTGGGGAGCGACATGGCCCACAGAATCTTCCAGAACCTCATCAGGGTGTGGACTGAAAACCCCGCTGTTACTCTTGACTTGGCTTGTTCCTACTCTGCCAGGCCTCGGTGATGTTAGCAGTCCCCCCTCCGTTAGAGAAAGAGCCGGCCAGGGGAGGAGGGCCCTGGGGCTCACAGAGGTGGGAGGGCGGGCACGTCCTTGCCCGTGACCTGGGCCTGCTGCCCTCCAGGTGGCCCCCAGGCCAGCAGGATCCTGCACTTCATCGGCAGCCCCCTGCAGAGGGCAGGGAACAAGACAGAGATCGCCCACAGTGCTCTCTTCCTGGCCAGCCCTGCAGCGTCCTTTGTGACGGGAGCTGTGCTGGTGGCCGACGGTGGCATGTGGCTGACCTCCCCCAACAACACCGTGATGCTGACGGGGTTTCCGTCCTTGCCCGCGAAGCTCTAGGTGACTTGCGGCTCCCGCCCTCTGGGGTCCCCCGTCTTCGGCCTTCCTGTGACCTCCGCAGTGGCCAGCTCCGACTGTCTGCACGGCTGGTGCTGGCCACGAATGCGGTTCCTCCATCACTGGGAATGTTTCTGGTTTTTTTCTCAGGTGATCTTGGGTTTCTACCACCCCAGGGGTCAGGCAGTATATAGGCTGCAGCCAGGAGGGTCTTCTGGGGCAGGTGGGTGGCACTGGGAGGGTCCCAGCCTGTCACAGCAGATAGCACAGGCCTCGGCCCCTCGGAGCCTTTGTGATGAGGAGACAGCCTGCTCCCCTACAGCAGCTGCAGGACCCCTCGGAGCCCCTGGGGTGACCCTCTGGGAGGTCTCTGCTTTGCCTTCCTCCCATTCTAGTGTGGCTTGTCTGGACACGGCCCGCACAGGCACGTGGGGCCCTGGGGTGTCCCGTAACCTTGGCCCTGCTGGCATTTCCATCAGGCGCTGGGTGGGGAAGCAGCCGAGGGCCACCTTCCTCACCTGCTCTGAGTTCCTGTGGTGCCACCTCCCACCACTCGACCCCCAGTACCCCAGCTGGTGCAGAGCAAAGCTGGGAGTGCAGAGTCCAGAAATGTGGAGTTGGACAACCACAGCCGAGCATCTGGAGCAGGACCGGCCCCTTCCTCAGGGACCATGCTATCCCAGTCTCCCTCCCTGCAGCACCTCTCCCATTCCCAGCCTGGCTACTGCCTGCTGACCGCCCAGAGAGTGTCTGACTACAGCCATTGGGGGGGTGGGGGTCACCGTTTGAGAAAGGGGATGAGGCCAAGTGGCTGGAGTGCCCAGTCCACTGCTCCCTGCAGCTGAGGCCGTCTTACCTGCCTGCCCTGCCCAGCTCTGCTTGCCCTGCCCAGCTCCGGCCGCCCAGCCCACGTCCAATGTGTGCCCATGGTGGCTCCCACCCTGTCCTGGATGGAGGAAGAGGGCGCCTGCCACATTCCTGGTTTTGTTTCTTTGCCCCTTTCATATTTGCAATCTCTAAAACTCCCTTCAAAAACGCCGTAACTATTTTGAAAATATAGAAAATGCCAAGTTTTCTGAGAAGAAGGGTAATTTTATAGTTGAGCCCTAGTTGGAACGTTGTATGAGACTTCGGCTGTGGAAGATGATGTTCAGGACCTGCCATGAGGAGCCACCTCTGAGCTCTCCCTGTGATGGGGGTGAGGGTGTTTCATTTCCTTCCCTTACAACTATGGGAAATGCCAGCCAGTACGCCAGTGTTCACTGCAGCGCTGTTCACAGTAGCCGAAAGGTGGAAATGACCTAAGTGTCCCTTAAAGGATGAGTGGATGAACAAAAAGTGGCACATACGTGCAACAGAATATTACTCAGTCAAAGAGAAATGAGGTTGTTCATGCTGCAACGTAGACAACCTTGGAAACACGCCCAGTGAAGGAAGCCAGACGAGAACACGTACTGTATGACCCACTGATACGAAACAGCAAACGTATAGAAACCAGAGTTCGTTAGTGGTGACCAGGAGCGGGAGGGAGGAAGACGGGGTGCCATTTAGCTTAGGAGCTCTGAGTTCCTGTAAGGGTGGTGGAGTAATTTGGAAATGGGTATTGGTGATAGTTATACAACGTGATAACTGTGATCTATGTCACTGAATTATACATGTAAAAAATTGCTGAATTGGCAAATGTTTTGTTATATACGTATTTTTACTGCAATTAAAAAAAATAAAAAATGCCAGCCAGAGGACTACAAACCATGAAAAGGTCACCACTTAGGGTGTGGCCCACTAGCCCCTTCCCCCTGCCTGCACCCCTGGGGGCACACACACCTTTACAGGCAGAGTAGGGTGTACTCTGTAGTCTCCGATGGCGTCCTGGAGTCAGGGGGCCTGTCAGGACGCCTGCCCCTGACCACAGCCAGAGGTCTCCCTCAGGGTCCTGGCCCTGCCCCCACCTGGCTATAGTTCTCTCTTTGGAACACTGTCTACACTGGTGTCATGGTGATCTGTGTGGGGGCCCCTCGAGACAGGGCTTTGTTTTGCTCTGAGCTCTGTCCCAGCACCTGGCACTTTGCCCAAATCACATGGCACATCACTCAACACAGTATGGTTAAGAGAATAAACAGACACACCCTCATTTATTGGACCACTACCCTGTCATGAGCCGCGCAGGTCATTGGCTCATGTGGTAAATGATACGCAAAGCTGCAGCAGAAACCAGAAAGCAAAGGAATCCTTTAAATTGCTGGAAATAAACAGCGTTAATTTGGGGGAGCTTCTCTCTGACTTCTCCCGTTGCCGTGGTAACTTGGTAAAACATGGCTGTGGCTCCCATGGTGGTCGCTTTGCCCTGCGTCACCCCTGAAAGGCCTGGAGGTCAGAGTCCCCAGCACTAATGCCCGTTTCCCAAATGCTCAACTCTCACTGCGTGGCTCCCGCAGGCACCGGGGTCATTCCCCACGTGTCCCTCCTGGACTTGTCCACCCCATCCCCCTTCTTCTTTCTCTCCCTCTTTCCTTCCCAGCCACTGTGCTGTGTACCTGATGGGGCTGGGCCACCCCAATGGAGACACAGAAGACCCAAGAGGCCAAGGACTCTGCCAGCCAGCTCCTCCTGCAGACCCCCCTTTCCTTGCTCCATGCTAACTGGGGCCTTCGTGAAGTAACTCATGCTCCCGCCCCTGCACACAGGAAGCGCTGCATTTCTTATTTACCACTAGGCTCTAGTTAGCTTTCTGGGGGTAGACCACACTGCTTGTTAGATGGGTGGAGGCTTCCATACTCTTTGTTATTACTGATTATCTCTTGGGTGATCTCTTCAGATAACAAATTTAATTGGCACACAGGGATTCCACTAATTGAACTCTCAGAGAATATCTTTATCTCCAAGTTGAGGGGAGGGCGCCCCATCACATCCATATGCCACAGCATCTCTACAAGATGATACCCGACAGCTGTCTTAAAGAAGAAGGAATGGGAAATATTTGTCAAAAAATACAGAATTAACTTGTAACTCTTCCACCATCCAATGTAACCCAGACAGTTTCCACCCAAAGGAGAGGACAATGATGTGAAGTAGATTGGCACCTCTTCGGGAAATGTAACCTGTGGCTGAAAAAAGGAAGCTCTGAATCACATACAAACCTCAGCGCCCTCCCCAGTCTGTGACTGTGGTCACGGGGGAGGCAAAATTAGAGCCAGAATACGAGCCCCAGAGAGCTGGAGGTGTGGCGAGGCCTTGTCCACTACGGCTGCTTAGTCATTACAGGAAGGTAGAAAGAAAGCAGGTGTTAGCGATTTCAGAGAGAAAAGTTAAACTCGTCCAAACCTCAGGCTGAGTCAGGAGGATTCAATTGTTCTTACCATCTCATGTTCTATTTTCACTCTAAGAAACGCACTTGACCCAATTTGAAAGTGAGAAAAAAAAATCCCCACTGAATAAAATCTCAGTAAACATGAGTGGGTAACTGTGCTCACAAGTGCTAGACTATTATGGGGGAAAATGTGACCTAAACCTAAAATTGACTTGTCTGTAAGCTGATTTGTTGAATACAAAATGTTAATCTAGTTTTCAAAATTGTAAATTAAAAATATTTGGCAGGAAGTTGTTTATTTATTTTTTACTGCTTTATCGAAGTAGAAGAAGGTCCCTGAGTGGCACACATGGTTTGTGCGCAATTACTAACCTAAAGGTTGTCGGTTCAAACCCACCCAGTAGCGCCACAGAAGAAAGGCCTGGCAATTTGCTTCCATAAATATTACAACCAAGAAAACCCTATGGAGCAGTTCTACTCTGTAACACATGGGGTCACCATGAATCGGAATTGACGTGACGGCAATGGGTTTGGGTTTTATTGAAGTATAATCGACACACAATAAACTGCACATAAGTGCATGATTTGATGAATTTTGACATGTGTACACCTGTGAAACCATCACCACAATCAAGATAACACACACATCAGCTGCAAATCCTTCTTCCTGCCCCTTTGTAATGCTTCCCTCCTACCCCTCCCCACCCCTCTATTGCCAAGCAACCACTGATCTGCTGTCACCGTGAGTTTGCATTTCCCAGAATTTTAAGTAAATGGAATCATAAAGTATGTATACTTTTTTGCCTACTGCTTTTTACTGAGCATTATTTTAAGATTCATACACATTGCTGTGTATATCAGCAGCTCATACCTTTCTATTGCTATGTGGTGTACCATGGTATGAATGTACCATGGTTTGTTTTATCCATTCACCTGTTAATGAGTATTTGGGTTGTTCTTAGGTTTGGCTATCAAAAACAAAGCTGGTATGAACATTTATGTACAAGTCTTTGTAGGACTGGTACGGTTGGATCATATGGAAGGTATGTGTTTAACTGTTGAAGAAACTGCCGTACTGTTTTCCAAAGTGGTGGTGCCATTTTACGTTCCCACCAGCAATGTATGAAAGTTCCAGTTCCTCCACATCATTGCCAACACTTGGTATTGTCAGTCTTTTTAATTTTAGCCATTCTGGTGGGTGTGAAACAATATCTCATTGCTGTTTTAATTTGATTTTCCTTAATGACTGGTGATGTTGAACATCTTTTCTTGTCGTTATTTGCCATTCATATATCTTTATTGGTGAAGTATCTGTTTAAATCTTTTGCCCATTTTTTAATTGGGTTGTTTGTCTTTTTATTTTTGAGCTGTAGAAGTTCCTTACATATTCCAGTTACAAGTTCTTTGTTGTATACATGTTTTGCAAATCTTTTCTCCCAGTCTGTGGCTTGCCTTTCCATTTTTGTAACGGTATCTTTTGAAAAGGTAACGTCTTTAGTTTTAAATTTTGGTGAATTCCAATTTATCAGTTTTTTTCTTATTTAAGAAATCTTTGCCAAACTCAAAGTCAGTAAGATTTTCTCCTATGCTTTTCCTAAGAAGTTTTGTAGTTTTAGTTTTTACATTTATATCTATTATCCATTTTAAGCTAATTTTTATAGGGTGAGGTAGGGGACTATGTTCATTTTTCTTGCAT